ATATATATATATATATATATATATATATATATACACACACACACGCACATACACAAAACTTCTGGCCACTGGCAGGCAGAAAAAACAATTGTTAAGCACTGAAATGAGGAACTGTATACTTCACTCTTTTTGCTCGGTGAAATAATTACTTTTGGATGGACAGAAACGCAGATCACAGTCTACACACATTACAAACTGTTTCCTTTCTGTTATCTTCAAAGCCACTGGTGGCTCCATAATTAGAATTTTTACTTTTTTTTTTCTGCCTGCACCAGTGTATTCAGATTTACTCATCCCTAAACAGCACATAAAAACAAAACAAACAGCAGCTGGTTACTTTATATCTCGTTCAGAGGACCTCTTTCTGTCTCAGTCGGCGGTTCTTGGCCAGAATACACAGCGAAGTGGATCACGTCGAGAGTCAAAATCTGGCTATGCGAGACAACACACCTAAACCAATGATCCCCAGCGTCTCTCCTCTGATCCGGGCCGCCCCAGACGCGACCTCCCGGATCTGTTCCACGCTCTGGACCCGCGTGCCCTCCCGGAGAGCCTGGTGCAGCCAGGTGGTGCGTCGGTACAGGTTTAGGATGTGACACATGGTGGAGTCTGCCGTCTCCTCGACTGAAGCTGCTGGCATGTTGCAGACTGCTATTCCTGCGGATGTGGACGGGTTACAGTCAGACTCTTCATTCAGCAAACACACACACACTGTTGTGCAACGTGTGGGATGTAATGGAAAACCTTCTTAACCATTACCTAAGTCTCCAGCAGACTTTATGTCGATATTATCAAAGCCGCTCCCAATGCGGACGATTATACGAAGTGCTTTGAACTTTTCCAGGTCCTCCCTCATCAGGGTGATGGTGTGGTACATGAGTGCACCCACTGCTTCATTTAAAACCTGAGAGAGTGGACACAAACTACAGTTAGTCTATGAGAAGAAGACAGTCACAAGTAGAACAGCTCTCGAACTGAGGGCGAGTCGAAATGATTTTTATCCTAACTAAGAGTGAATCTCTGGAGCCCTGCACATGACTTGATGACAAACATTTTATCTTGGCCATTTATTGTGTCTCATAATTCATTAATTTGTTCCCCTGTTTTCGATGTAATTAAAACGAGAGAAGAAATTAGTACAACATACCCACAATTTACTAAAGTGGGAAATAATTCTTAATTTGTGGCAACAATTTATCTAAAATGAGGGAACAAATTAATAGGTCATGGTAATGAACATTGTTGGGGAAAGTTTCTTTTAAAAGTATTGCACTGCAAAATTGCATCACTCCATAAAAAAAGTAACTAATTGCATTACTTAGTTACTTTTATAGAAAGTAATGTGTTACGTTACATTTACATTACTTTTTCTCGGATCTAAAGTCATTTTTGCTTAGTATGGTTGAATTGGATCATTGAAGGTCAGCAGCAAAGACATTGACTAATAAAATGAGATTAAATACGTATTATATCTGTGTTATTTAACATTTAATTAGTGCAGGTTTGCGTCATATTCTGAGTTTGCATTTCAACGTTTTTTCTCATTTTGAGGAATACTGAATTTGATTTTGTGCGAGTGAGATGAGTAAATGCATGTTGACATTTAGTCTAGAACTACAGTAACATCATGTTTACACAGCGCACACAACGCCTCTGCACTCACTCCTGATTTCTCTCAACATGGGGACAGGAGAGCTGGCAGTCAATAAATGGGAAAACAAAGCAACTGGCATTACTTATTTGAAAACGTAACTCAAGATACTTTCTTGTGAATTAAAAAGTAATACGTTACATTACTAGTTACATGAAAAAAGTAACTCACATAACTTGTAATGCATTACCCCCAACACTGGTATTGAATTCCTAATTCATACACTTATATATATATATATATATATATAGTTATGCGAGTCATGTAAGAGAGCACATGTCATGTGCGGGTCTCTCTAAAACTCCTTATGTTCTATTATATATTTACTAGGAACAATAGTTTAGTTAGAATTTTTTAATGAGTATTAATATGCACAGCATTGCAGGGTATGAACCAATTTCACCCTGGTCAAGAACACTCAGTTATGCAATGAAATTAATTTCAAGACTCCAGGTTCTACTACAATTTCATATGGGCAGACATTAAGTCAGAAGAATTTAATTCATTTCAAAAGACTTCAATATAATTAATTTTAAAACTGGCTGCATTGATATGGGCTCAATGGCAATCCTACAGAATCACACTCAGACATGAAGATCATGCACCTGCCACACATTTAACGGCTGAATTATATTATATTGTTTGTATTTCTATTTTAATACTTATTGGAAAGTTCCGAAACAACAGTATATTAGTTAAGTTGTTAATTATTTAAACCTCATGGTAATATTTGTGGTGCTGAATTTAATTTGTTGATTTTAATCAATATAAAAATGATAAAATCAAGTGTTTACCATTGTATAAATACTACCATTCTGCAAATGTATTTAATGGATTAATAAAATGCAAGATACATGGCAATGTAGTAATGGTAATGAGTTTTTCAATCATACTATTAAAGTTTTGTTAATATTTTTATATTTTGTTTTCATTTTCAGTTTAAAGTTTTAGTAAATTTATGTGTTTGTCATTTTTATTAGTTTATGTTTTTGTTTTTTTTAAATATGTCTAGTTATTTTAGCTTTTAACAATATGTCTATAGTTTTTAGTTTTAGTAAACGAAACTGAGCAATGTTGCCTTGGCAACTAGCTGAAATGTTTCTTTTATATTTCAACGATAATAACCCTGGTAATAAGAATGTGGGGATGTGTTTCATTGTCATGAGCTAATTATGCACTTCAGGGATCATGTCTTTACACTGTTAATCTGATTCGAAAATCCCGAGGCAGAGGAAAACTCTTTAAAGCAAAGTATTATGACAAACACTAAGAGCCTCCAACATGATTTGCTGATAAAACAAGAACTTCACTGTACAACTTCACTAACAAAGGGTTCATGATGATTAATCAGTTTACTTGAAAACACTTGACAATCTAATAAACCATCAAGTTCTGGAGTAACACACAACATAAACAGATTTATCACATTATAACTCTGGTTGATGATGAAAAACATCATTTGGTTTGACACCCATCAAGAAAAATCACCACATTAAGCAATCAGTGTTGTTTATGAGCTGCACCAGAATGAAACAAGTGTTTTTACAGCCTTCACACCACTTTATCATCTGCTAATAACTTCTCTCCCAGACAGACAATTGATTTTCTATCTTATCAGAAGCTCTTTTCTCTGTGTGAGGAGACTGTATAATTTCTGTCCATTCAGCAGCGGCCGGTTAAAGCAGTCAAATAAGGAGGATCTTTGTAGGTTTGTGGGAAGGGGCAGAAAGGGAGTGCCATCTGTCTGTGCAGGCCTGGGGAGTGTTGTGGCAGCCACCCAGAACCACACAAAACATGCCAAGAGCAATCGACAAATCAGCAGAAAAAATTGTGCGGGCTCCGGCCACAGTAAAGGTCTGAATGAGCACGAACGCATCGAGAGGGAGCAAATATTTATATGACATGGAATTAGGTGAATTGTGTTGAGAGTGAATGATTTATGGTAGCCTGCGACGACTGGTCTTTTGTGTGCAGCCAGTTGAATGAACAGAGCAAATGAGTTCAATTTAGGTTCATGGGTAGTGTGAAAAAAAAACAGTTACTCTGAATAATACAGACAGCAGCAAATCAACTTTCCTCTGTGTACGAACACACTATCAAACGGTGCACTTGCTCTTCTTCCAGCCAGTTGTATTTGATCCACAAACACTTGTATGGGTCACTAGTGCTTTTTTCCCCCATTATTGGCCAAAATTTGGCCCTATTGTTTTTTTTTGTTTGTTTGTTTGCTTTTGTATCCTTCAGATTTGGCATAATGCAAGCAAATAATACCAGGATGTATTTCTTCTAACTGAAATCCTAATCTAGGATTAATGTTTAATTAATTAGGATTAACCTAATCTAGGTTAATGTTAATTTCTGCATAAACTAATACATTAACATCTCAAGTTGTATAAATTAACATTACCTAATATCTTATGAACAAACTTGAATTAACAATGAACAAGATATACATTCTATACATAGAATAATTAAAAATATGAAATATATTCTAAATATAAACAAAAATGTACTAGTACACACTACTGTTTAAAAGTTTGGGTTAGTACAAATGTTTTAAATGTTTTTGAAAGTCTCTTATTTTCACCAAGCTGCATTCACTTGATCAAAATACAATTAAAAATTAAATTAAAATTAAAATTGTGGAAAATTACTGCAATTAAAATTACTTTTCTATCTCGATAGATAGATAGATAGATAGATACATTAATATTATAAATGTCATTATAAATTACATTCTAAAAATCTTTAGTTTACGGTTTATTTCTGACACATGACACTAGACTCAGATAAAGTTCATTCAAGAAAAATGTCAAACATTCTCAAAGATTGACAAAGAGAAACGAGTTCTTTCACAATGAAACATCACAACATGACAGATCTGATTCCGCCCATCTAGCTTTAACAAATGCTAAAGAAAATGATTGATCAATAGCTGCGAGCAAGTCAGATTGAGACTGAAATAAATAAATCACATGAAGTACAGTGGGAAGGATGACTGTGAGATTTCATCATGCTACCCAGTGAATTCATCTAATGAATCATTCTACTCATTTCTGGCAAAAACGCTCACAGCCTCATAAATATTACCCATTGTGCAATCTACTTTTTTAGCCTGTGAGATGAAGTGCTTTTTTCCATTTAACAAAGCCAAAGAGGCTCCATCACGTCGAGCCAGTGGGATCTATGATGTATTGCAGAACCATACTCTAACATATATTACATGATATATTAATCTGTACGAACCAGTGATGAAAAAAATACCACTCCACACAGTCGTAATAAATCTTAAACACATGAACAGCATTCACAATGCATTTTACTTCTGTGACGCGACATACTCCTTAGTGAAATAGTGGGAATTAAGAAGTAGGAATCTGGATTGGATTGGTGAAAAATGTAGGCTGAGATATTATGGGTTCATGTTATTTTTCTCTGCCCACATGGTCTTGGTTAAGCCAACAGAAACTAAGAAACATTTCAAAGGTGGAGAAATTTACATTTTAACATTTTTTGCTTTGTTTTGACCTGTGATATTTACGTTTATTGAGCAGATGCTTTATCCAAAGCCATTTAAACAAGAACAATATACAGTAAGTGATTAATCCAAACAGTAAGTGACGTTAAGTGCTAGATACCTTCTCGTGGATCTCCTGGGTGGACTGGGCATCACAGAAGGCCACGGTGGCCACGTCCTTCAGGATGGGCATCTCCACCGTACAGTCCCGCCCATCCAGCAGTGCCACCAGAGGACGAGGGTGCATGGGGCCATTCATTATGGGAGGCCTGATGCCTGCAGAGAGAAATCAATCACATTTGTTACACGTCTTGATCTTGTGTTCAAGTAGGTTTAATGTGAGCACTGACTGTAAACGTCCTTTTGTCTGCGAATTCACTGTTATTGTAAGACTCCTTCCAAATGATAAAACCCAATGCTACTGTACATTTGGCTCAAGGATACACACAGACATTGAATGCCAAGGTTAGTTATTGGAATCACTCTTAAAATAAAGTGACTCATAAACACAGAAAAAGACAACAGTGTGTATTAACAGTCGGGTGATTCCTGGCTTTATTGCTCAATATTAAAAATATTTTTGCAACTGCTGTTGCAGTAAAACAGAGCAGTTGTGAGTTTTATAACCACTCATAAAAGACACAAACAGACTAATGCTGTTATTTTACTGATAACAAGACCTTTCTTACATATAAATGTTGACTGAGAGTTATGAACACTGATGATTTCAGAACTTGTCAATTACTAGTCAGTAACATTTTGCCAAATGGTTATAGGATAACAGAACTATGATAACTTATGTGATAACTAGACTGTGTGTAAATATATAAATCAACCAGACTCTTAATATCAATCCCTTTATAAGAAGACTGATGGCATCATGATGACATACACAAAGAATCAGTTTTAAGGGAAAAAACATTGAATGAACAATCTTAATGCAACCGCAGCTGATGATGGTTAATAATAAAGTCATGAACACCTGCAGGGCTTCTTTCTGCGGGTCTGATTTTCTGTCAGAACTGTGCTGTTTTAAGCTTCTCAACATTTACTGATCTAAGACCACCAACATTTTCAGGCTTAAATTATAATTTTATAGTGATAACCCAATATATGCTGGCCAAGCTATCAAACTTCAAGACAAATTCCCACTGAAGACCAACATATGTTGATGCTACCATATAAAAACCACTCCAAAAGTGCTTATCAGCGGCAGCCCAGTCCCATGAATCACTGCGAATAATATAATCGAGGCAGTTTCACTGCACTCTCAAACTACTTATATATTGGTGTGTATTTTAATATTTTGGAACAAACTTCAAATATATTGTATTGTATATCAATGATAATTAAATCGATAGTTTTATACTACAGCATTTTCAGTGTTTCATGGGACTGCAGTTCATTCACTTATAAAAAACATTAAGTGCACAGTCTTGCCTTTGCTTCTGTTTTTCACATATTTTTTGATTTCAGTCAGTGTTTGTTGATTCACCTCAGAGCTGGTTGGTTTAAATCCCTATGGAGAAAATGAATGGGAAAAATACTTCCGGAACCAAGGCTGCTGAAAAGGTGGGTAGTGACTGTTGCGCTGTATTGACATTGGCGATAAGTGCGCTGCTGGGCTGAGTAGCAGAAGTTGGCGTTCTGCCTAGTGTCAGTTAAAAAAACATCTACCAACGGACTTGTCAATGGAAAGTCCAAGTATATGTGTAAACTACCGTTCAAAAGTTCAGTAAGAATTTTGTAATGTATCTGAAAAAAGTCTATGTTCACTGGAGCTGCACTTATTTGATCAAAAATACAGTAAAAACAGTAATATTGTGAAATATTATTACAATATAATAAATAATAAATAACTGTTTTCTATTTTGTGCTACAAATAACCCCAGCCACTTAAGACTGCTTTTGTGCTCCAGGGTCACATATTTTAAATGTCATTTATTCCTGTGATGTAAAGCTGAATGTTCAGCATCATTACTCCAGTCTTCAGTGTCACATGATCCTTCAGAAATCATTAAAATATGCTGATTTGCTGCTCAAGAAACATTTCTTTCTATCAATGTTGAAAACAGTTGTGCTGTTTATTATTTATGAGAACCGTGATTTTTTTTTTTTCAGGATTCTTTGATTAATAGAAAGTTCAATTTATTTTAAATTAAATTGTGTGACTAATTGTGACTTTTGATCAATTTAATTCCCTGCCGAAGAATCTATCTAAAAAGAATCTATATATACATACATATATACGCATATATATATATATATATATAGTGTGTGTATACGTGTGTGTGTGTATTATATATACATACACACAGATAGCTAGATATAGATATATATGTGTGTGTGTGTGTGTGTATATATATATAGTATATATGTGTGTGTGTACTTTTTTTTTTAACAAAAATAATAAACAAACAGTATAAAAGACATCTAAACACCTCTTAGATAAATAAAACTAAATCAGTATATTTCAGATGCAAAATATTTAGCTATTTGTTAATGATATAGTAACAGAAGTACAATATGTGCACCTGTGACCTCTCCCAATTTTATCATATACAGCCTGGCAAGTGCAGACATGGTGTAATCATGCCCATAAGACACAGAAACACCCACCTCTATCAGCACCACCCACTCCTGCTCTCAGGATAGTCTTCACACTCTCTCTCACACACACACACACACACAATGCACACGTTTATGCACAAACAAGAGCTCTTTACCTCTGTGATGATGAGATCCCTGGCTTTCACGCATCCGTTCCCACACAGAACCAGCTGTTTTCTCCATTTGTAATGAAGGTGAACTTTTACAACCATAAATTATGTGTTAGTGACATCTAAACCATCCCAGCAGGATCCGGTTATCTTGTAACACAGCCACTGTTACCTCTTTTTTTTCTGATTAGGACAAACCGCCAACAACATGCAATAGATTCATCCAAGCACGCATAAAAGCACGCAGCTCTGGGATCAAATGCTCCGATCAAGAAAAAGCACTGTTTTGCTCACACGAATGATCGTTGACACTCTCTGTCTTTGCATGTAAGATCACAGCTAGGTAAATCAAGATGCCCGAGCTGGAAAAAAAACACATGGTAGTTTCTCGCACCACACCGTTCTGTCAAAATCCCTGGGCTCTGTTCATATTGCCCTGCCCCGAGGGTGAGCTGGATCTGTTTGAATTAGCTAGTTCATAGCAACAAGAACCAACAGGGTCAGTCGCACACAGCGTCTAAAACCTCGACTGCCCACGGGCGATAATTCAAGCTGACATCCCCCCTTTGTTGTCTTCTGGTGAAAATTATAGCCAATTTCAAATTCCAACCTCAGACACACAGTGCGAAAAGAACAAAACCTGTTTTTTAACGACACGTTTTGCTCGTCACAGAGTGAGCTGGGGTGAATCTTGTTTTTTGTCATTCGTGGAAAGCCAATGTATTGTTCTCAACCCAGTTTTCCTGGAAATGTGCACTTGGGATCAAGTCACTTGAATATTGTAATGACACTTATATGCATTTTTACTTTCATTAGTCAATCTCCTCCTAAAAATATATGACAATAAAAATGCACTTTTTGGTCCATCTGATCAGAAATATCTTAAACCAAATCAAATATAAACGAATCTCAACATATGTTAATTTTAAGACGAAATAGTCGCCCATTAACTGAATGCTGCAACTATTTCCATGACATCCCGAAAAACCCTACACTTCATATGGCTAAGTATTCCTGCTTTTGGACTCTTCTAGAATGAGAATTTCCTTCGAAGAGACAGAAATTAGGAAGTAAGTCAAGGCCGGAACTGGAAGCCACATTTCCACTGCACAATGTGCGGGAGGAGGGCCATTGGAGAAAGAGTCATGTCCTTGCCAACCCCTCGGATTTTCCAGAGGGGATAGTGTGTGCTTTTTTATCTTTTGGAAAGATTAATGCAGTTAATAAAGCGAGCCATCATAGGTCCGTAGCCCCGGCTCTCGGACGAATGTTTTCTTCGCACAGGAAAGAGAAAGCAGAAAGCAAGCAATTGTATGTGAATGAATGGTTCAGATGAAAGATAATAGGAAAGAGGGAAAAGCGGAGCAGAGAGGAGGGGAGGAGGAAAGGAAGAGGGGGAGGGGAAGCCAGAATACTGTACGACAGCCGAGCGAACGCTCGCTCAAATATTGCCGCAGATTTTCGTGCAACACTTTTACGTGTGGCCCCATGCAGAAGGTAAACGCTTACCTAATGGCAAGCCTTTGTTCAGCAGATGTGAGCTTCCCATCTCTTAGGATCTGCCGGGAAAACGAGCGTGTCTCCTCAGCAAGGCATTCACCAAAATCCTCAGCATATGGCAGCTACTTCAATTTTCTTATTCCTTCTTTTCTGTGAGTAGCTAGCTTAAGCACACGCGCTCGCGCTCACACTCCCACCCCTCCTTGTCTTTCTCTTTCTCTCTAACTCCCTCTCCCACCCCCCACTCTCTCACTTTCTATTTCGACTCTCTCACTCGGACAAACACGCATGCACACACAGAATGCAAGTGTCTCTGCATTTATGGGAGTGGGAGAGCGAGAGAGAGAGAGAGAGAGAGAGAGAGAGAGAGAGAGAGAAACGTGTGCGAGGTGGCTACAAGAAAGACTGAAGAGGAATGGGGCGGAGCCTGTGCTCTCACAAAATTGATCTTTTGTTTCCCAAGAGGGGGCAAGAAGAAAAAAGATCATGGAAAATTGCGAAAGAAAAACAAGATCGGGGGAAGGAAATCTGGCTGTGTATTTCCTATTACTAAAATTTCATGACAGTCTTTTAGAATAGAAAAAGAAAAATGCAAATAAAAGACTAAAATTATTAAGTATCATACAAACAGGGAGTTTTTTTTTTTTAGTTACTTCCAAATGAATGCTCATGCTGAGGGAGGGTTAATTAAACGCCTCTGACAGTGATGGTTCTGGGTTATTTAGCTCTCAGAAAACCAATTACTGAATCCTACAGCCTTATGGGCAGCTCAGAGACGTCTCCAAAAATAAGTAGGTACAAAATAAGCACGAACAGGGTTAGGGGCCACTCACACAGGCCACTCTTTGTTAAAAACAGCCGGAGAATAGACAAAACGTAGGTAGGTCTTGAGACACATTTTTTAAGTTAATTCAAAATTCAAATTCAATTTGAAACCTCTTTTCACCACTTTTCTCATGTTTTCAAAAGTCATTTTGGCCTTTTGCTTAATGAGTCATTTGCTTTCAGTGGTAGAACAGAAACTGTTTAGTGTCTTTTACTGCTGCAGCATTCTGAATCCTACAGCCTTATGGGCAGCTCAGAGACGTCTCCAAAAATAAGTAGGTACAAAATAAGCACGAACAGGGTTAGGGGCCGCTCACACAGGCCACTCTTTGTTAAAAACAGCCGGAGAATAGACAAAACGTAGGTAGGTCTTGAGACACATTTTTTAAATTAATTCAAAATTCAAATTCAATTTGAAACCTCTTTTCACCACTTTTCTCATGTTTTCAAAAGTCATTTTGGCCTTTTGCTTAATGAGTCATTTGCTTTCAGTGGTAGAACAGAAACTGTTTAGTGTCTTTTACTGCTGCAGCATTCATCAGTAACTGGCAAATTCAGCTGATTCATCTGATAAACACACAAATCAAAAGCATCCATTGAGACAGGCCACACAATGTGCTCAAATACAATTTGTCAAAGGATGTTATGTCATTGATACAGCTTAAGCGTTACTGGCACAATCTACATGCTGCTGATTACCACAAACCTCATTATGTAAAAACAAACAAAAATTACATTTACGACAGAGAACTTGCTATGAAAGTCTAGACATTTTGGAGGCTTAAAAGCAGAAATGAGGCACTTGAACTTTTGTTAAAGCACTTATACTACTGCTTAAAATTTCAGGGTCAATGTTTTTTTGTTTTTTTTTAAGAAATTAATACTTTCATTCAACAAGGACACATTAAACTGTTCAAAAGTGACAGTATTACAATTTAATATGTTACAAAATATTTCCATTTCAAATAAACTCTTCTTTTGAAATTTCTATTTGTCAAAGAATCCTGAAAAAAAAAAATCTATCGGTTTCAACAAAAATATTAAGCATCACAACTGTGTTCAACATTGATAATCAGAAATGTTTCTTGAGCAACAAATCAGAATGATTTCTGAAGGATCATGTGACACTGAAGACTGGAGTAATGATGCTTTGATCACAGCAATCAATTACATTAACAATATTCAAATAGAAAACAGTTATTTTCAATTGTAATATTTCACAATAGTACTGCTTTTTACTTTATCCAATAAATGCAGCCTTGGTGAGGATACACTTTTCCAAAAAATACATATATATATATATTTTTTTTTAATTGACATTAGATTAAATATATAACAGACAAGGACAGTCAGCAATTTTTGCACATTCGTCTCATTTTGCAAGCAACATGCTTGATAGGAGTGGGCGCATTGACTCTATCATGATAGTTATTTACTGGAAATTCAATCCCAAAATGTGCATGTAGCATAATGTAGTAATAACTATGTTAAAAATATTCATATTTTTAGATACTATTATTCATAATAATACTGAATGATTATTTTAGCATCAGTGCAAAAAAAAGCTTTACAAACACTTTAGTCAACCCCAAAACAGTAACACATTATAAATATGACTAAATGAGTGGTGTTGGAGGCTGTTGTAAATAAATGCGCATACATGATGCTGTGACCACTGAATGCTGAACTAATGCGACGTGGAGCTGCTCGGCAACTGTAACCAACCATTACATCATCATTACTCTGGAAATGTGTGGCACAGCTCCTCAAAACTACACCACTCCCGTTAAAATCAACAAAGCTGTCTACACTGGAAGTAGCCGCCTGCTTTTGCAGAGTAGTTTAATTATTAATGAATTACACCACACATAAACAGCAGTATAAACTGTACAGCTGAATCTCTACCGGTTGTCACAGTACATACAACCACATATTGGATATATTTCCAAACTGTTTTTATTTGAACATTTATCCTAGATTAATATCTTGCCCCAGAGATTTGCCCTACAATGCATTACTACATGAAAATGTTTGTTTTTGATTGCACAAACGGAGTCAAAATTATTTTCTGTGGTAATTACAGATGCTGCCAATCAACCTGAACAATTACCTTGTATGTTCTGAAGCTATATTTAGTTTTTCGATAATACTTAGAGGGATAGTTCACCCATAAATAAGTAGTAGATTTATTTATTTAATTTACTCACCCTCAAGTTGTTCCAAACCTATACAAGTTTAGAAAAGAAGATGTTTTTAACAGTTGGTGGTAGCCATTCACTTCTACAATATGGAAAAAAAAATACTATGGAAGTCAATGGCTACCACCAATTGTTTGGTTACCCACAATCTTCAAAATATCTTCTTTTGTGCTTAACAGAAGAAAGAAACTTGGTGAACTGTAACTTTAACGTACAATTGTTTCGATTTATTATTAATTTGTAATTATTTTAAAATGGATTTAACGTCGGTAAACTCATTAATTAATAAGAAAAGAAATCAAAAATAGATGAAGAATCGTTTACGAATCAGATCGTGAGGTGTCTAAGCATTCTCACCCCTAACATGAACTGTTAAAACATACTGTTTAAATCCTATTCGCATGTACTGAGTTTTCACAAAGCATTTGTCAGTTAACTCACACTACATCCAAAGGCTGAAGGCTACATACTGAATGTTGTGACATACTGTACTGCATTTCTGCTATCTGCTAGGCCTCTACTACAGTACTGTATGTGAAAAACAAGTCAGTCTGGGAACACAGACATACAGTATCTTGCGTGTGTGCGCTCCAGTGGAGAAGTCAGACGGATTGGCACTCAAGCAGAAGAGCCCCGTTCTTTGTGAATTCATTAGCGCTGGTCAGGACCTCAGGGGAGCGCTGGTTTTGGCAAGTGAAGCACACAGCATGTGTCACGTATGTGATCCGAGCGCTTCGGCCACATTGAATAAGCTGGCTAATCACACCAGTGCCATAAAACAGATGCTCATGCATTGATCCAAAAGGAAGATTAATGGAAAAATCCATGATTTGTTCAGAAAAGGTCAGGTTTAACTAGCTTTCACCTAATTATTAAACCTAAAGTAACTAGTTTTATTACTTAATATAACATTCCAGATGACAGAAAATGCCATCTAACGAGTTATAACACACCCTCAAATCTGTAATAACAATAATCGCCACACCACACAAACTTGCGGTACAACTTCTTCTCTAAAGCATTCTTTCATGTGATTCAGCAAGTCAAAATCGTCTTGAACTAATGCTCATAAACAGCTGGTCAATTTTGCTACTGCAAAATCCTCGTAGGAATATCTTCTCTAAAAACCAACAGGGCATATTTCCTCCTTGTAAAAGAGCACAAGGACATAACAAGGTGAAAACCATCTCAACACCAGACCGCATACATCCACCACAGTCAAATCAATTCTGAGCCGTGGTAAGAGGACAGCTGGGAAAACACAATCTGGAGGACACAATCTATGATGAATGAGGAATATCTCAAATGGTACCAGTGAAAACCTCAAAAACCCATTGAAAAAGACAATGAAAGAAGGGAAAATAGGAGTGGGGAGAGGCAAAGAGCATAAGAAAGATGCCTCTGAGAAAGATTACACTGCCTCACACACACACTGCTGCTGCCAGCACACACACACACACACACACTGCAGTGTGGCGAATGGGTAAACTCCCTCACATCGCCTATCTTGAAGGGAAGAGGGTGCACGGATAACATTTCCCTAAATAAATTCAGTGTGACTGAACGGATCCTATTAAACTTGGCTGCAAACGGGGTGTGCAGAAGCAAGAACATTTCATTAAAACACCCGCTGAGACCTAACAGTGCATCATTAGATCAAAATCCATTAACAGATTGTATCTAAGGAATATCTAGATGGCGAATGGCAGAGAACAGGCAGTGATTCGATCAAGATTATTCTCTATATCAGAGTCTTGGCTCAGCTCGTGCTGTGATTCCAGTCAACCATGTTCTCAACAACAGACAACATTCTACAGGATCCTATGAAAGCACTTCTGCTCAACTACACACCAAACAGACACTAAAAATATGACCAAAGTAAACTGCACACATCATGTCACTGAGTAAACAAACCTATAGAAAGACAACTGACTAACAGTGAAAGCAGACTAGACTCCTAGGTGGCATTAAAGGGGTCATATGACGTTGCTAAAAAAGAACATTATTTTCCACATACTGTACATTATTGTTTCTCCTCTTTGCCCCGCCTTTCTGAAACGCGTCGATTTTTACAAAGCTCATCGTTCTGAAAAGCGAGGTGTGCTCTGATTGGCCAGCTATCCAGTGCGTTGTGTCGAATTCCTCAAGTGTGTGACGGAAATGTTACGCCCCTACCATACTGTGATGCCGTGACCCGGCGCGACGAGACAAAATCATTAAAACCCATTATAAACGAGGCATTTGTTCGGAGAATTTCAGAATAGATTCTGAGCT